TATATATATATAATTACTTTCGTTGCCGCTGTTGGTATTGTTTTCTTTTTCTTGGTTCCTTATCAGGCTTGAGCCCGTCTTTCTGTGTGTTCCTTTCGTTACTCCTCAGCAATTTGCTTGATTCAGCTTCCTGAACTAGCTGTGTGTTTTGTTTCGCATGGGCCCCGTTGCATATGCTATGAAACGTGACACGACGCATGTGACGCCAGACACAACGGCTTCTTCCCCCCAGACTTGCACGCTGGAGTGTTTGGGGGGTGAAGCCGGAGAAAGCCCACATGACCGGTGAAAGAATGTCGGGGGGCGGTGAGACACAATACGATGAGAATGCTCCAAACGCAGCTTAATTTGAGTATGTATGCATATATATATATATATATATATATATATGTGTGTGTGTGTACGTCTGCCGTTGGGAGTCCCTGTACAGCGATGAGCGGCGGGCAGACACAAGGGAAGGACGATACACAATCACTTTGTGGAGAAAACCTCGTCGTGCATATGAGTTTCATAGTGTGTACACCATAGCAGAGTGGTGTACTTTGGTAAACGTGCAATATCGGGGACAGAAAATATATATATATATGGACAGGAGGAGGTGAGCAAAGCATGGCCCATAAAGGGTTGAAAACAAAAATCAAGGGTGAGTTGAGAATGAAAGAGCGAATGCAAAAATGTGTGCGCAGCAAATGTGTACCGGTATATCTTGTTCCCTGAAGTATGAAGAATGTTCTTCTTGTGTGGTGTGATTCTACGCACATACACAACAGTTATTGGCGCTGCGGCCAAAAGCATCATTGTCTCTGGTTCAACTTTGTCGTTGTTTTTCTCTTATATTGTCCCCTGTGTGTGTTTTGGAGTTTTTTTTTTGCTTTTTCCCCTATCTTACTCCTTCTTGTTGCTTCTATTGTCTTTGTAGCAACTGCCGCCGTGTTTGGTTAGGTTGTGGTGTTGCTTTGTACTTCCGTAGCGAATAAGGTTGGGCGACACAAAGGGTATCTGGCCACAAGTTAGAAAGGGACTTTTTCTTCTCGCTTCAGCTACACCTGCATACCCCACATACGCGTGTGTGTTACACCCTCAAAGTAAGGGTTGTTCTTGAAGGCAATCGCTGTGTATTGTTTCTTACGCCTCGTTATTATTCCTTCAATTCTTTTTCTTTTTTATTATTATTGTTAGGGTGTGCGTTTGTGTGTGGTGAGCCGCCCTCCATTGTGGTTGTTGTTTTTGTTTTTTGTTTTTTGGTAACGAGGAGGGGCACAAAGGCGTTACGCGCGATAACCAATAACAGTGGACATTCCCTCCTATTGTTTTCATCGGTTTTCGCCGTTAAGTCACCTTGTGCTTCTGCAAATATGGGCACAAGGTTATATGAAGCCACCGCACCACGCGGTTCTCTCTCGAGTCTTCCGCAGCAGCGCGACATCAGTGATATGCGTCAATCTATTGAGCGCATCGAAGAGCTGCTGCACCGTGGTGAGGAATTGTTATACGGCGAGGACAACGCTGAGGCGGATTCTTCGGTGGCCCTTCCTTCACCTGCGGCTCTGGCCCCTTTTCCTGCGGCTGCTGCTGGGGGTGCTGGTGCCGATACCTCCACTCCCAAAGACGTCGCGAATGGGGACGTAGTGTTAAAGAGGCCAAAGGGTCAAAAAGCCACACCGCGGCAGAATGCAAAGATGCCAGAACCACTCCCGCCAGCTGCCGGAGCAGGAGGAAGGCCCTACGGCGACCACCGCCGCCGCGCAGAAACACACGCAACCCAGCGAAGACAAATGCCAGATGGCACACCAAAGGCTGGGGCTGGAGCGGCACCCCACCACCACTCCAGTGTGACAACGCTTCGTCACAGCCACAGCGGTGCCCCAAGGAAACTGAAGAAGGGCGTCACATCCAACGAGGATTCGGATGAGATGGAAGATGTCTCCATCGCTGAGCTGCGACTACGCATTCAACATGAATTGGAGGAGTACCGCCGCAACGGTTCTGCGATGCAGCTGAAACCGCGCCAATCTCATGGGACCACGCAGGGGTTGGGCCGCGCCCCTTCCCATGAACTGGGGGGCACCACCACCATCGCCGCTGTGTCCGTGAAGAAGGCGGCAAGGGTACTCCCACAGCGTGACACACGCACTCACACGGCCAGTCGTGTAGCGCACCCTTTGCGCGAAAATAGAAATAAGAATATAAACAAGAATGTAGAGAACCGTAGAAACAATAACAAAAGCAACACGAAGAAAAAGCCCACTCCAGTGCCCGCTCCCGTCGCCAGATCGACTGCTGTTGCATTTGTCCCTTTCAGAAGCAAGGACAAAACAATCCATGGCGAGGGGCAGCATGTACCGGCGTGGATGCGGCTCTACGGTGACGCCATAAGGCTACGGGAAAAAAGGCGGCAACAACAAGAGGCGGAGGAGCAACGCCAGCATGAAGAGATGCTTTCGGCCTTCAAGGCGACACCGTACAAGAGTGACACCTTGATGAAACGCTTCTCATTAAAATCCACTTCTGTGAAGACACCCATTAGAGGTGCAGCCAAGACGCGGGGCGCACCAGCTCGCAAAAAAGAGGTGCCCCGTGCTGCGCCGGCGCCGGCGCTGGCCATCGTACAACAGCAAGAGTCTAAGAGGAACGGCGTAGGACAGTGGCATGCCCCTGGCTGCGTCTTCCCTCGCCGGCAGATCAAGCCGCGGGATGTATTATCCACCAAACTGGGGATAGCGGAAAAACGTCAGGAAGAAGAGGAGGCGCACAAGCTGCATCAGTTTCCCCCCGAGGAGTTGCACGAAGGGGGGGTGGCGATCGCACGTTCGACAGCCCCGCTGCCTGTGGCGAACGAAACTCCGAAGGAAACGGGACAACCGTTGCATGTAGCAGTGCCGAAAAGCGAATCGTTTGCAACACCGGAAAGAAACGGCACTCCCGAAGCCCGGTTGCATTCTGAGTCACACCAAAAAACCCTTGAATCCACAGGTTCCTCTGCCTCCTCTTCGATGCGGTGGGTGGCTGATTCGCTTGCCTCCAGCGGCGCCACGCCGTCAATGCCCCTGCGGCAATCAGGTTCAGCAGTCAAAGCACCCATCCCGTCGTTTGTGAAGCCGCTGAACTTTCGGGCACTCAGGAAGTGAACTTGTAGAAACTAGAAAAGTAAAATTCTTTTCCGTTCGACCCGTTTCCCTCTCTGTGTTTCCTCAACGGTGTGTTTATAATGCAATTGTGTCGCACCACATCGTCCCACGCAAATTTTTGTTGTTATTTGTTTTGTTATTTCTGGTGGTGGTGGTTGGGGGGTCTCCTTGTTTGCTTTCTTTCCTTGCCAACAAAACGATTTTCTTCGTGTTGTTTCTTTTTGCGTTTTTTTTTCCTTTTGGGGGGTGGTGGGGGTGTTAATAAACCCGGGGACGAAACAATAAAAATAAAACCGACGAACGGGGGAGAGGACAGGCAAAACAAAAGGAAAAACATATATACACACACACACATATAAGGAAGGGCAATGAACCGCACCCGGGCCCTGCAGTTCTTTTGGAAGACAAAGAGGAACCCTAATGCGCCCAAGACGTTCGCCGCCGTCCCGCAGAAGTTCCCATACCACGTAAAACTGGAAGAAGGTAAGAGTTACTATTGGTGCGCGTGCGGCCTCAGCAAGAAGCAGCCGTTTTGCGACGGCGCGCACAAGGCATACAATGAGGAGCACGGCACCCAGCTTGGCCCAGTGCAACTCACTGCGCCCAAGACAAAAAAGTATTTATTGTGCGGATGCAAACATACATCAAACCAACCGTATTGTGACCTTTCGCACGTTGGGGTTATGTTTCGCTCGCTTGTCGGGAAAAAGGACTAGGTATCGAGATGGGCGCTTTGCGCGCAACCCACTTACACCTTACTATAGTATGAGACTTAGCTTATTATTACGACTGCGGTCAACAGGGTCGGGTTTTTTAACAAGTACCGAACCAATGTTTGATGCCGGAGCGCGGGGGGGAAGGGACGCTCGCGGAGCCAACACCAAACAAAGGGCACGCCAAACACCACATTACTCCTTCCCCTTTCTTTTTCTTTCGGTGTTTTGTAGTTGCTGTTATTGTTGTTGTTCCCCTTTCGAATGCAGCAAGGGAAGCTTTAAGCTGGCAGAAGCCGCGGCGGCTCCAGCCCCAAGGTGCCACACCAGGCCCTTTTAATGCTTACCAAGGGCGAGTCGGTCACTGCGGAATGGGCGCGCCGCAGCAAAGCGCTCAAGAGTCACGCCCTTCGCCAGCTATGGGGAAATTGGCTCTTTGCGGTCGCTCCAGTTGTCGTTTCTACCTCTCGCTTCCTGCCGGTCGCCTGCGGCACCCGGGCGGACATTGACCGATTCGAAGAGCGGCGAATCACCCGTTAAGGCGATAAGCGGCTTTTTTCCTTCCCATCACGAAGGGGCCAACTTCCTGACGATAATGGAGGAAAGCGCCGAAAAGAGGGAACAGGGAATGCCTGGACGAAGCATCTCGTCCGTTAACGCGTGCGCCGCAGAAGCTGCCCTTTCCCGCCCCATTGCGGTTGGAGGGGCAGTGTGTATATTACCTTTCCCTTGAAGGCGGAAGAAACGGTAAACAAGCGCAAAACTCTTCGTAGTTTAAACGGAGTTTGCCCACCAAACAACCTAACTTCCGTATTCGGATTCACCCCAACATGGGCGTTTTCAGAAGACCCCCACCCCGCTCTCAATACATAAAAAAAAGGACCCTAACGAAAAGAAGGCAATAAAGGTGTCTATTTAACCCGTCTCACGCACTCCAGTTGCAACGTCTATGCGCTTAATGGCCTCGCCCCTTTAAATACAACCCGCAGGGTTTGCACCTTGAGCCACGCATTCCCAAGCAGATTGTGCCTACAGATTCCGCAGAAACCCTCACTATCGCCGAAGCCCCTTCTTAGAACGCAGCCGGGTGCGCATTCCCCTTTCACACAAAGTGCACGACAGCCGCGTTGCAAACGTTTAATTGGAAGATCGCCTTCTAAATCCGAAAGCGAGGCGCGCAAAGCCATTTGTACAGGCATTCCTCCCCATTTGGAAATCATAAACGGCGG